ACATGTTGTCTTTTCCCTCCCAGTTTTGACCCGAAAGTAGGTCCCGGCTGTGGGGGTTTCACAGCAGCCAAAACTCTGAGAGAAAAACAACTCTTGTTTCTTCCATTCACGTATCTCTGACACTAAATGTGTGAGTTTTTTTCCCACACCAACCAATTCTCTGCGAGGACACCAGCTAGGTGTCCTATAATTCAATTCTGACACTCACTACCTGGAGTTAGTGCAGACCTCACAGGTTAGTCACACAAGATTGCCCTCCTTTCAGATGTCAGGTTGTCACCTGTACTCCTGACCAACTAGCTATAAACTGGGGGTTGCCATCACCCCTTCCTCAGATTGTGTAACTCACTATAATGGCTCGCTGAACTCAGGGAAACACTTGGTTATGTTTACTGGTTTATGATAAAGAAGAGCCAGGTTAAAAGGCATGCAGGGAGCGGTCTGGAAGGTCCTGAGCACAGGAGGTTCTGTCTCTGCGGAGCTGGCATGTACCACTCTCCTGGCACACGGGCGTGTCTGCCAGCGCTGAAGCTCGATGAACCTCTTCAGTAAGGATTTTTTTTTTATGGGGGCTTCACCACATAGCCGTAGTTGATTAACTCAATCCTCAGCTCCTTTTCCATCCTCAGAGGATGGGGGCAGAGCTGCAAGTTCCAAGCTTCTAATCATGGCTTCATCTTTCCGGTGACCAGTCTCCATCCTGAAGCGATGCAGGAGCCCACCCAGAGTCACCTCTTTAGAACAAAAGATGCTCCTATCACTCAGGAAATTCCAAGGGTTTTAGGAGCTCTGTGCCAGAAACTGGGGGCAGAGATCAAAGACATATATCTTACTATGTCACAAACACCATCTCTCTTGACCAGGGTACTTGGGAAATTGGTCCCTGTAGCCAGAGAATTTGGGGTGGGGGAAGAAGAACAATTTTTTCTTTCTCCCAGACCTGTTCCAAGGACAGGCCTCAATTATGAAGCAGTGGTGGCAGCAGTAGGGGCAGAAATTTCATAAGAAACATTGTCATTCTGGCTAGTTGATGAGGAAACCGAGCACCTGTGACATGAGCCAGAGTGCAGGAGGAATCCTAGAGAGAAGCCAGCTAGAGAAGGGGATCCCCTAATTCTTGGTAAGAAATAGCACAAGTTTTGCATGGTCAAAACAAACCTAAAGCAGCATAGTAAGGCCTCTGAAATACTGAAGTGACATTGGAACAATGGCCCACAGAAGATGAGACAGAGCTTGCAGTTTGAACAGGATAGATTGCCTGCTAAAACAAAGCCAAATCAACACTTTCTAGAGCAGGGTTCAGCAAACATACTTCATAAAGGGCCAGGTGGTAAATGTTTTAAGCTTTGTGGGCCATATGGTATATTACAACTACTCAATTCTGCAGTTGAGGTGCCAAAGCAGCCATTGACAATATGGAAATGAATAGGTATGGCTGTGTTCCAATAAAACATTTTTTTGGTGCCAAAACCTGGGACAATAAAACTTTATAAAAAACAGAAGGAAGGTTGGATTTCGCCTGAAGGCTAGTTTGCTGATCCCTGCTCCAATAAGACTTAGTCTCACACATTATATTCAATATGTCCAAGATACAATCCAAAATTACTCAACATACAAAGACCTAGGAAAATGTGATCAATTTTTATGAGAAAAGATGACAGAAAGATGCCAACCCCAATATGACCCAGCTGTTGGAATTGTCAGGCAGAGTTAAAACAGGTATTATTACTATGCTCTATGAAGTAAAAGTAAACACATTTGAAATAAAAGGAAAGACAGAAGTTCTCAGCAGGAAATATTAATTATTAAAAGAACCAAATGGAAATATTAGAACCAAAACTCCCACAATATCTGAAATAAAAAAATCACTGTATGGGCTTAATAGTAGAATGGAGATGACAGAAAAGGAGTGAATGAACTTGAAGATAAATGAAGAGAAAGTAATTTGAAGAACAAAAAGAAAACAAAACTAAAGAAATAATGAAGACAGACTTAGGGACTGTGGATTCAACCTTCACCTAATTGGAGTCCCAGGGGAAAAAAAAAAGACTAACACACACACACACACACACACGGTCTGACAAGTTAGCAAACTTGTTGCAACGATGTTACTAGCCTTTTTTGATATCAGAGGGATTATTCATTATGAATTTGTACCAACTGGACAAACAGTTAACCAAGTTTACTGTTTGGAAGTGCTGAAAAGGCTACATGAAAAAGTTAGACAACCTAAACTGTTCCCCAACAATTCATGGCTCTTGCATCACAGCAACGCACCAACTCACATGGCACTGTCTGTGAGGGAGTTTTTAGCTAGTAAACAAATAATTGTATTGGAACACCCTCCCTACTCACCTGATCTGGCCCCCAATGACTTCTTTCTTTACCCGAAGATAAAGGAAATATTGAAAGGAAGCCATTTTGATGATATTCAGGACATCAAGGATAACACAACAGCTCTGATGGCCATCCCAGAAAGAGTTCCAAAATTGCTTTCAAGGGTGGACTAGGCTCTGGGGTTGGTGCATAGCAGGGACTGTCACACTCACCCACCATTCAGAAGCCACAGCTCACAAGCCACCTGCTGAACCAAACTCAACAGGGGTTTCTTGCTTCCAAGAATTCTAACTCAGCGTTTGCCAGAATAAGGGGATACTTTGATTTGCTGTAGCTGTGGGTGTGCTGCAACCATCCTGGCAAGCTGGCACAGGCTCAGAAGAGGCTGGTCTTGTAGCAATGTGCTTTATGTTCTCTGATTCTGTGTGGATTTTATCTTTTTCATTGTGAGTCTAAAATTCTATGGCAGTTTCCAAAACTGTCCCTGTATAGATGTAGATGTAAACAAAGCTGACTCCATCGTTGTGTGCCCCAATTTCTTTCTAGTTTCCGTGTTCTGAACCCTGACCTAATGAGTGTCAGCCAGCACCCAACCCTCATAGTTAAGACCACATGAGGTGTGGTCCCTTTGTCTTGTTGATCATGAGTAGTTCAGCCATACTATCAAACATTTGCTGTAACAACTCTGTAGCAGTGCAGATTATCTGTGCACACTTGGGAGTCACCTTCCCCTCAGACCCAATTTCCTCTAAGTAACTTACCCTACAATAAATTTTTATAATCAATGGACTTGCCTGCCTTATTTTCCGGTCTAAAGATACCTTCTTGGTTCGGTGGGCACTGTATTTTCATTATTTCACCTTCAGTCTCTAACGAGGAATTGAGTGTTGGAGGTCCCAAGAAGAGGTATGAAGGGCTAAGTGACTGGGGCTTCATTTCTGACTCCAATCCTTAAAGCTTTGCAAAGATGCTGGACATGCAAAGTTCAACCCAAGACAAGACAAATGCTGCCAACAAGAGGCTCTTGCCTCTAGAAGCAAATGAGGTCACTATTTGAGAAATTTGTGCCACTATCCCTTCACAGATGACTAATAGCTGAGGGAGGGCCTGTTTAAGTAGAACTGTAGAGATTGATTGCAGAAACATTGGATCAACTGCAGGTCAGAGTATGCCGGAATTAGTTTGAAAGCTTTCATCAATTTTCTAATCGTGATCAAACATATTTCAGGAAATGCTTGCCTTCCTACATAAATGAAAAACAAAATTTTTGAATGAAGACTGGTTCAGGTTAGTTATTTTCTCTGCCTGCCTCAGGAACACTTAATGGCCTCAGTCCAAATAATACCAAGTAGAAATACTGTCTGTGTTTTATGACAACGGTTAAGTTCCAAGGTTAACTGTGAACAGTCACCTGAATTTCAGTCAGATCCCCTCTGTATGCTTATGGGAAAGTCTAATCTCTATTTTCAACTTATTTTCTTAAGCTCTTATTGTAGAGATTGCTACCTGAATCCTAATATCTATTCCTTCCTTCCTCTATAGTGATGGAATCCTGATTTTGAGCCAGCATATGACTGCCTGGAATTGGCTAATCTCCCAACCTCCCTTGTAACGAGGTGCGACTTACCAAGGGACTGAGTTCTGGCCTGTGAGTCATGAGATGTTATGGGGCAGCTTTCTGGAACCTTCCTTAAAACACTGCCATCACATTTCCTTCCTTCTTTTTTCTTTGTCCCTTCTTTAATCCAACCTGTTGCTTGGAAAGTGGATGTAGTGGCTGGAGTGCTAGTTACCACCTTGACCTTGAAGACCTAGAGAAGAGCCCAGGCTCCTGAAGACTTAGTGAAACAGGCTCATCATACTGGCCCTGGGTTGCCTACTTTCGGACTTTTATGGGAGGAAGAAGTAAATTCCCATGTCACTTAATTTGTTTTTTTTTACATGTAGTTGAATTTAATCCTAATGACTAAAACCAAGAAACACTCTCAAACGAATCCCAGGAAAAAGTTCAGGGTGAAGAAACCATTCCAACTTGTGCTGTAGGTAAAAATGCAGTCAACTGCCTTGCTTGAGACAGGTTACTAAGAGAAAAAACAACAAACAACCAAAACTAAAAACTAAAAACAACACTTAATGAAGCCCCTGCATGGGGGGCTAGTCTTTGAACACATTTTGGTTCTCAATGGTTTGGTGGAAAAAACCAGAGGGCCCATCCCCTCCATCTCACTTCCTTGGCCTTGGGTTGAGTTTTCTTCTGTGAACAGTGAGGGTGTTGAACTAGGCATCTCTAGGCTTTTGTCCATTATTGACATTCTAGTCTGTTTTCTAATGTCCATTATATTATATAATCCTTTTGGATACATTAAATGATCCACATTAGCGCTTATCCCAGTGCTTGGCACGTGGTGAGGTGCTGTATAAATGTCAGCTATTAGGATCCATGTTTTTATTTCATTTTCGGAGTTTCCACAGGATGCTTTGCAGAGGAGGTGCTCAGTAATAAGGGGTTTGCTGATGTCCTCTGAGACTGCCTTTTGATTTCTGTTGATCCCCTGCTTGCCCAACAGAAGGCGTGTCCCCCATCCTGACTAGTATCAACAAGAAAAACCCGAGAAAAGAGACTCCTTAGGTTCCAGGTTACACAAAGCCATGCGAGAATAATCGGCAGTGGAGGAGGAAATACACTATTTATTTACAATTCTTTCACTTTATCCACAATTTCCCATACAAACATAAAAACTAAAAAAATAAAACCACCACTTGGGAACACAAGTGTCTTTCTTCAGTCCGGCTGAGGGCAGGTCACGAGCCCTCTCTGTGGAGGAGACCACTGAGGCACACTGAAGGGGAAGGGGACAGGGTTGGGAAGATGCCTGAGAAACAGCTCCAGATGTGAAATGAACATGCCTGCGTGCTGGGGCTCCACTGGCAGGGGCTCAAGGGTGTCACCCGCTGGGGACACTGCTTGGCTTACCAAGAAGTTGACAGTTGCTTGCCGCCATCCCCCACTTCTCTACTACCAAACACCAAAAATCGAACATGGGTCACACATCTCATGAGCTGAGAGTGGGGTATGATGGTGACAGTGGGGGGCACCGAATACCTCTCTCTGAGAAGAGCCCCAAACCTCAGGGGCACACAGGAAACCCCTTTCCTTGGCACTGACAGTTGGTTTCTGTCTTAAATATAATGCTGACTTAAAAATGTGGAAACAAAAGCCCTCCACCGATTCCAAGGGAAAGGCATGGGCTAAAAACATGAGGAAGGGCTTCGCCTCTGTGGTCCTCTCTGGGAGGCTGCTAGGGGTGAAGGGTGGGGATAATGTCTGCTGGAGATGGGGAGGGAGCAGGGCAGATGCCCCACAAAGGCCCAGGGACGGGGAGGAGAAAAACACTCTGAGACACTGATGTTTGGGATGGCTGCCACTGGTTTTCAGAGCAGCTCCATCTGCTCAGCTACACTCACTCTAGCAGGCTCCCATTCACTTCCCTCATGGGCGTGGGGCGTGGGGGGGGGGGCACCTAGAAACCAACCCGGAGGCACCAAAGCCACTTCCCTGGCAACCTCATCTGTGCTAGTGACCTAGATTGCTTTCACATGTTGATGCACGTTATAAATATAAAATCATATCTGCTACAAAGAGGACATATATTTGTACATCTTTACCCATATACATAATAACACAATTTACAAATAATATCTTGGAGTGGGGTAGTCATGGAAAAAGGGTTTGGAGAGGTAAAAGGCCCCTTCTCCGGCCCCTGCCCTGATCCTTTCTCAAGGGGTGCGTGTACACTTGGTCACTGGGGCCCTTCCCAGCGGGTTGAGAGGGGGCTAGTCTGGACACAGAAATTCAGACGTGTAAGTAAATGCTGATGGGTGTGTGTACTCATCCACACACACACAAATGCACGCTCACGTGCTGGTGAGAAAAGGAAAAATAAAATTCCTAGCCCTTGGGTGTAGGCCTCTTCCCAGAGTTCAAAGCATCGGTGCCTCCCCCATCTGAGAACCATGGTCTGAAAGCTGCCCCTCACTGGCTCAGACTAGGGCAGGAGGGAAAGGGTTGGGAGCTGGGGAGAGGGAGGAGGGGCCAAGAGTCTTCTGAAAACATAAGGCGTTTTTTGACCTGTGATTGAATCAAACTATGTCACAAAGCACAACAGTATCATTTGGGGCTGGGAGGCAAGAGACAGCCAGTCCACGGAGAGACGATGGGAGTTAAGACCCTGAGCCTTCCCTGCATTTGTCCAGTTTCTTTTAAAGGGGCAGACAACCCTGTACCTCCTTTTCTGTCCTCTCCCAGAGTGGGGCCCATCCCCGTGGCATGGAATACTGACAGCGGTCCAGGAGACCCATCCGGAGACATGGAGTGGTGGACAGGCACGCCAGAGAGTTAAGACTTGGGTGGCGGATGTGAGCTTTTTACAGCAGGACTGGTTCCTGGCCGGGGCTCGCACAGTGGCCGCCGTGATCAGATTGCCATCGGAGATGCGGGCAGTCTGGGTCCTTGTGGGGAGACAGCACCTATCGCCGGTAGTGATTAGGGGCGTCGGCAAACATGTACTTAAGTCTGTACGCCTCAGCGAGAAGCAGCCCGATCTCTTCGTTGCCCCAGTGTATTGTAGGTAGGTTTTGTAACAGCATGAGGAGACCCTGAAATGCAAGAAAAGGGCTTTTATCATCCCGGAGTGACAGAGCGAAGGGGCAGCCGGCCCTGGAATGGGGCCCCCACACATCCCAGAGGGTCTGGCGGCTCTCCTCCGAAACGGCACACAGCCCTCAGCTCCCAGTTCACCTTCAGGAAGCCATGAAAAGCCTCTGCTGGCTCTCGGATCCACTCACACTTGCCTCTTTAAAAATAGTATACACAGAGAATGACAACAATGAAGAAGGACATTTACAAGAGAAAAATAATCACTCATCATCCAAGTATCTCTCCCAATTTTGAAGTATTTCTTTTCAGTCTTTTCCACATGCATATTTATTTGAATAGTTGTCATCATAATTATGATTTTATGTGCTTCCAAATAATTTAACTGTAATTTTCATGCTTTTCCATGCAGCCTTCAAAAATGATTATATTCAGTATTAGTACTCTATCACATGGCTATACCCTAATTTACTCAACCATTTCCCTTTGGTTAGGGACTTAATTTGCTTCTTTTTAAAAGCAAGAACAAAAACCTTTACTGGAGACTGCTCCATATCATTTTGCATCTGACATCTTTCTGAAATACCCATGTTAACTTGTAATTACCATATCTGCCCTCTGCCCTGTTCTCCACACACCATCCTCGACCCGTCTGGCTTATTTTCCACTGTTCCCGATGTACATGCCTCATCCTGCCAGATTTATCTGTGCCTCCACAGTTTAATTTAAGTTGTTCCATTTTCTTGGAACACCTTCTCTTTTCTCCTCCATCTATCTAAATTCTATTCCGTTTTCAAAGCCCAGGCCATTCAAACAGCTCTATGGAAATAGCCTATTAAAGATGATATAAGAATAAAAATAGAGCCGGCCGAGTGGCGCGTTGGTTAAGAGTTGGCTTGCGATGCCAGCTCTGAGCAGCAGAGCCCAGGTTCGGATCCCACATTAGGGCCAGTGACACTGCCCTCTACAGCTAAGATGGTGAACAACAGCTTGACCTGGAGCTGGGCTGCCGTGAGTCGCTGGCAATGGTGTAGGCTGCAGTGGGGCTGCAGTTGTTACCGGCCAGGAGAGTGGCCCCTCCAAAGACTTTTAAGTTTTCTTTCCTATAGAAATAAATGTTAAGTATAGAAACGTTGTCTCCTCCCTAGTTCCTTAGTTTCTTAGCTCTTTGCTTTGATTACTCTTCTAATCAGTCTGTGAATCCTATTCTAAAGATTGCTCCTAGCCTGAATCACAGAATTCTCCTATCACCCTGCTTCTTGATTGCTTTGTAAATCAGTTTCTGAATCCTAAACAATAGAAGTCTCCTACCCCTGCTTCAGATAACTACTTGAAAGCCTGTGACTTCCTAATATCCCCCCAGGCCAGTTAGCTAAATGCCAAACCCATTCTGGGCCCAGACAACTGATGCCACCTGAGTGACAGGCTGAATGGCCACAGGCTTCATGAGAGCTAACAGATTTATTAATTAAAATCTATTTCTCCTCAATCAGGGACCTTGGAGATACAGAGGATACCCCAACAAGATTGCCAGTCACAACCAAAGAAGCCAACACGGTCTTCCAGGTGGAGCTCGAGACCCCTTCCTCTCATCTGAGATCAGCTAGGGGAGAGTTCCGTGAATCCCCCAATAGGCAGGGACAGCTCTATGCCCCTGCCCAGCAGGAAGCAGATACAGAAGAAGAGACCTCCTGTCCCTCAGCTTCCCATAGAGATTTTATGGGGATCACATCTCTCAAGGGGAAAACAAGGCAGGCAGTTAGAGGCAGGCATTGGGTCTCTGCATTCCTGCATGTCCCATAGACTGCCAAGGGGACATCCCCCTACTCCCAAAACTCCCTTTTGTATTGTAATTACCTACCCTGCGGGAAAACAAGTGGGCACAAAATACCCAACTAAATTAGACCAGTCACTGGCACCTTCGCAGTACCTCTTGTCAATCACAGGTGACAATCAAGTGGTCCCACTTGATTGGGGAACAGCCCGTTCTAGAGAAAGGGGATAAAAACTCCAAGTCCAAGGAAATCCGCCCTGCTCTTTTTGAGCGCTTCTTCCCGTTTTGAACCCCTTCCTCCCCTTTTTGAGCCTTTTGAGCCTGGCCTTTGCACGTGGCCCGCTCCAAACTCTTTGAAATGTACTATCTTTTCTAATAAACTACTTTTTACTCCGGTATCTATTCAGTTCTTTGCTCGAGTTGCCAAGGACCTGGACTTCGCGCTGAGAAGGGCCTACTCTCCGACAACAGAGCCATACTAGCCCTGGGCTGCTTACACGTAGGCTGTTCATCGCAGAGAAGTAAACAACTACCTTGTTTTAAGCCACTGTTATTCTAAGGTCTTGGTTACAGGAGGCAAATTTGTCTCATCTTAACAAATACAGGCCATGTCTGTCAAAATCAGAAACGCACGCGGGGTTTGATCTAGCAGCTCTACTTCTATGTCCCCCTCCTAGGGAAATAGTCACACTCCTACACAAAGGTATTCACTGCATCACTGCTTCAAATAGGGGGCATAATGACACTGGGGAAGTATCCGTCAGTACAGGAATAGTGAGATTAACCATGATTATCCGTATCATGAAATACAAAGCAGCTCCTTTAACAAATGAAGGACTTACATGTGCCAAGGTGGAAAGATATGTAAGACAGGAGCAAAAATGAAAAGTAAGTTGCAGAAAAATATATATATCATTCAGGTAAACTGGAAAACATAATATTTGTAATTTACTTATGCACATGTGTATATAAAATTTTAGAAGGTTAGGTGGTGTACTGTAAACTGGTTCCTTTTAGGGATGGGAGACTTTCACATTTTCTCATCATACTTCTATAACTTTCAAGACCTTTGTTTCCAATTTTTACAATAAACTCTTTGTATGTTACTAGTGTGATATAACTTTTTTTGAGTAATACACATTCTGTGGGAGTTCTGTTTAGTAAAAAGTAAAAAGGCAGAAAATAAATTACCCATAACTTCATAATCAAGAGGAAGCTACTTCTAAATGTTTTGGCATATTTCCTTCCAGTCCTTTTCCTGCACATTTTACACAGTTGAAATATTTTCTCTATATAATTTTGAATCTATTTAGTATTTATCATAAGCACTTCCTCTAATATTAAAAACTCCCTGTAGACATTATTAATGGTCAAACAATTTTCCATGATGCAGATGTACCATAATTTACTCTACATTTTCATGTTTTGAGCACTTGATTATTTCTAGTTTTTACTATAATGAAATTATAATGAACAGCCTTGTGCTAAAGCCATATTTTAGATTATTTCCTTGGGCAAGATTCCTAGGAATGAAAATCACTGTGTCAAAGGGCATGAAAGTCTTTAAAGTACTTAATACTCATCCAGAAAATGCATTCCATAAACATGCTCATTTCCCTAGATCTCCATCAGCTCTGAATACGCTCAACAAACAAACTTTGTTAATTGCAACTCCTTTCCCTGAGGTCTCCAGCCTGAGAATAGAACTCAAAGCCTTAAGTCAAAATGGTGATGGACCCACAGGAAGAACATATGAGAAAGCAATCAGGCTCTGTGCTTTTCTATCCATCTACTCTCCCAGCCCACCGCTGCTGGCATCTTTCCTGATTTAAGGTAAACAAACACCCCCTCCCGTCACATCACTGATACTGAGATTCACTCAACCTGACCAGTTCCTCAACCAGCCACTGATATTCATTCAATCTACCCCCCACATGCTAACGCTGCTTTTAAAAACTTTCAGCTGCTCTGAACTTCTCTGGGGTGCTCATTTCTCCCTGGGCTCTGTCTTGGCCTCAGCTCTAAATCCACCTTTTTTGTTTTTCAAAGAGAACTATCATTTTTATCTCAACTTAGTTTTTTTAAAATGTTGTCCCTTGGTATGTAATACAGTTCCCCATGACCTCCAGTCCCCCTGACCTCTGGCCCCTTTGACACCCCTCCTGCTTCCTGTGCCTTCCCCCCAAGCACCCCACCCCCACCCAACCTGGAAAAGGTATCACCTTTTTAATGTACTTCATGAATATATTCTATAACAAGATATAACGGCAGATGAAATAACTACCATAATTTCAAAGTAGTGATGAACAATGTTTTGAGATACTTGAAACAACTTAATAGGACATGAAAATACTCGCAATTAGCGACAGAGAGGTCCCACTAACATCACTGTGCTTTGTTGCCCATGCTCATTATTGCAGGAAATGCTGACTTTGAATTAGGGGGTCACGGAAAATAAAACTATAATTATTTTTCCATTCCCATGCGGGGATCTCCTGACTTCTAGATGTGGACCCTAGGTTTAAGTCCCCTGATCTTCCTGTGGCTTGTCCTTCTCTTGACCCACACCACAATTCACAAGAACTCTTATACTTCCTTCCAGAGTCTAGTTTGGGACATTCAAGTGCCCACATTAACACTTAATGTTACATTTTTTAACTTCATTCATTGGAAAACTTTCTTTTTTTGTACAAGTTGCTTTTGTTGGCATAGGATCTCACTCCCACTTTCAATCAGTTCACCGGGTGAGGCCAAATTGCTATCCTATTTCTTGAGGGCACATCTCATTGACTCAGAACCAGCCCCCATTTTCCACGGAAGGGAAGCTGAAGGAATGACATTTGCTTGGCCTCATCCAGAACATGAGCAAGACCATTCCAGGGTCCTGGAGACTCAATGGGATCGTTAGGGCTTCTCGTGATCCTCCCACTTATCATCACAGCCAGTGGTTCCAACCAGCCTGCAAGAGCTGAATCGACTGCAGAAACTCTTAGAAATACATGGGCCCAAGTCTCATTCCTGGTGTTTTGGATTCTAAAGACCTGGGATGTGACCCAGCAATCCACTCCTTTCACAACTGTCTCTAATGATTCCCACAGGCAACCAGGTCTGCTGTTACCACTAGTGGAATTAAAAAGCTCCTGAGGGACTAAAAACACACTTGAGATGCAGGCCTCATACTGAGATCCCAAGGAAGGAAACTCCTAGACATCACACAGAGAGTGATTT